AATAATAAAGTAAATGAAACGTCATGAAGGAGCTTCTCAGAAGAAGACACCACCAGCAACCACCAGCAACCAATCATCAAGGTAGGGAAAAACAGTGATTCCATGAAGCCGAAAATGAGCCACCACTGGGGCCAAACTTTTTGTAAACACCCGTGGTGAAGTGGATAAACCAAACAGGAGGGCCTTGAATTCATAAATTAGTCCATTGAGCGAGAAACTCAGGAAACGACGATATTCTGGACAAATGCTAATGAGGAAATAAGCGTCCTTGAGGTCAATAAGAGCAAAATAGTCTCCTTGCCTTAACATCTGGATAGTCATGTCCAAGGAGACCATGCAAAATCGCTGAGGTGTAATATAGGAATTCAGGGGGCGAAGGTCAAGGATGGGACGAAGTTCTCCAGCTTTTTTAGGAACAATGAAATAGCGTTAAAAAAAATCTTTGCGTAATGTCAGGGCTGTAAACGAGTGTAATAGCATCCTTAGAGAGTAGTTTGTCAACCTATTGCTACAGTACTGGAGAGGTAGCTGTGTTCCTGACCAGCCCCGCACATGGTGTGGAATGGAATTCAGTTGCATAACCCGTGGCTACAATGGTAAGAACCCAGGTGTCAGATGTGATAGCTGCCCAAGCGTGCAGGAATGGTGCCAGACGAATCAAGTGAGGAGGTGGTGCTGGTGGGTTTGTAGTGTTAAAAGTTCTGCTTGGTCTTCCGATCCTGTCGGTAGGCCTGCTGACGAGGTCTTTGCTTAGCAGGTTGCTGACGAGACTGACCCTGAAACTGGACACCTGTGACCTCTGGTGATCAAAATAGGGTCAGTAAGAGTAAGGACGGCGTAAAGCAGATTGTGAGTGGGTTTGTGATGAATAAGAGCGAGCTGTCTTCGGTGTTTAAGCAAGCTCTCCAAGATTTCATCAGTTTTGGGGTAGAAGAGGCCTACTCCGTCAAAGGTTAAGTCCTTCATCCTAATTTTGACATCATCGAAGATGTTTGCGGAATGCAGCCAGGCATGTCGATGCAGGGAAATGGCTGTGGTCAACTGCTTTGCTGCGGCGTCCTGGCTGCGATCCGTTCCTGATGAGCCAGTGACACGGCCTCTTGATGGTGGGAGACGCTTGGAGTCCTGAGGTCTTCTGGAGTGGTTTGCAATGCAGGGATGGCCTTATTCTACAAGTGCTGATGGTATGCGCCCATTGCTGCCATGTTGTTCGCCACCCGCAAAACAAAGGTGGCCAAAGAGTACATCCTTCTGCCCAAGAGATCGAGCTCCGCCCTTCCTCATCAGTCAGTGGTGAAGACGATCTACCCTGGGGTCAACTTTCTGTGGCATCGACCACCAGTGAATTTGGCGAGGGATGTTTCGAAAGGAAGTCAGTCTTAGTCCCGTGTTTTATACAAATTTTTGACCTGCCTGAGAATCTGATGCAAAGTCAATGGTCTATCCCACGGCTCTTTGAGAAGGCTCAAAAGAGAGGAGATACAAGCCAAGTGGCGTAGTGGTACCTGGTCTTTGGTAATATCAGCATAAACTTTATCTCATTGCTCCACCAAAGGCTGAATTACCGCAAGGTTTAACACCTCAGCAATACGTTTGATCTCTGAGAATAGGCCGTGTACTCCTCTGAAGGCGAAGGAAGATGGCTGCCAGCTACATCTGATGAAGGGGTAGGGATATATAATAGAGCATCTTCTCTGATTTCACCTTCATATGCGCTGGAATCAGTGTAGAGCTCGAAGTCACGGCCCGGAGACTGAGCATATGATGCTCAGGCCTGAGAAGCACTGAACTCGGAAGGTGCTAGGGCCAAATCCTCGATGAGGTCATCATCCCAAACGCACAAAGAATGAGAGGGTGAAAGAGAAGGAATAGTTGCAGCATCTGGACATTGTCAAGGTTGAGCTGGTAAAGCTGATGGAGGTGCCCTGGCAGATGATACTGATTCTTGCTGTCAGGATCGATGTACTTGGGTTCAAGAGGGGGAACGTTCATTAGGCCGATGATAGATGTCCTCCAGACAGGGATGATATCGAGGCGGAGGAAAAGCCTCAAAATATGGAGGCCCGTGTCGGTACATGACTGGATCATATGGCATCGGGTAGCCAGGACCCTTGAAACCAAAGCCCCGTGGTCGGAAGAATTCTCTTGGGTCTTCCCAGGGAGAGTGTCTCCAGTCGCCCGATGGTCGAGCATGGTCGGCCTCGGCCTCAAGAGGGCACGTCTTTTGTTTTTTCTTCCAGGGTGTCTCCGTAGCCAAGCCCAGTGGAGAACCAGGGCTGGCTTGAGCCTCCTGCTGATTCTCAACCGAGCTGTGAATAGACCCGGGAGATAGTGGTAACACAAGCACCTCCGGCCCCAAGGGAGGAATTTCCTCACCTCCTGACAGTACAGTGACCAATAACATGTCATGCTGGGCATGAGATATTGACGTTAATAGCGAGAGCACAGCTGAGGGCTTAATCAACTTAGAAGATTTCTTTTTCTTCTTTGGTGTCAAGCCTGATGGAGGCTTCGACATAGAGGCTGAGACAGTCGACCTCGAGCCCGAGGAAGTAGATTTTGGACACCTGCGAGCCTCGGAAGGTGAATGAGCCGCAGCTGTGGAAGTTCCCAAAACAGATGTGGAGGTTCCATGGTCGAAGAACGAGCTGAGCAAAGAGATTTTCCCCACAAATGGGAATGTAATCTCTGCAATCTCCGTTTCAAGGCTGTTTTGGTAAAAGTAATAAGAATAAGAAGCAGTTTTGGTGTTCCTCCCCAAGACAAAAGAGGCAGAGTGAATGGCAGTCAGAAAGAGGCCCTTTGCTGTTGCAGGAGGCACAGCACTTAAAAGGCCCCGACGTGGCCATAAACTCTAAGCAAACAAACAGTTTTACACTTACAGAACAGACTCATGATTGGAGAAGATTGGTCAGCCAAGCCGAGGTCAATAAACAAGGTCTGATAATGATTAAAGGGATTTTTGAAAGGGAAATAGCACAAGCTCCGGTTTGCGTTGCTGCTGTAGCGGTGGCAAAAAACAGAACTGAGCCTCTCGGTGCTGGGGGCAGGGTTATAGCCAGTGTGGCAGGTCCTGGCACCATGTACTTAAATCTCTAGAAGGTTCTGAAACTGCTCTGTTCAGGCACAGATTAACCCATTAGTGTGCATTTATAGAGACCACGAAGAAGAAGCAGAGTCCGTCTGTATTAGATGAGGCCAAGTACATTGATCTTACTAAAAATTCTAATGATTTAAAATGTTTATACTTCAGCTTCCATCTCAATTTAAATGTAAAAGTTCCATCAAAAAATTAGATATGTAAAACATGAACATACACAAATTCAGACAATAAATTAGAAAGAACCAAATCAAAACCAACCAAACTTGACTTTGATTCAAAATGTCACAGAGAAGCCAGATGAACAGGGATTTACAAAGCCTTAGCATGACCACGGCAAAGACTATGTTTCTGTGAACCAAAGTTCAGATCAATGTTGGATATGTACGAATGCTTCCACAGATTCTAATTCAGTGGTTCTTGGCCTTCTCCATTCTATATGTTTCAAAATTCAACTCCTCATACCGCCCCAGCAAGCATATTCAATGCCAAATAATTTTAGGTTGGAAGTCCAAAACATTTGGAGGCTCCAAGGATGAGAACCACTGGTCTAAACAGAAAGGGCAACGCCACATGATAGAAAGTTTTAGGTATTCTAGTCCTAAACCAAGATGGGCAATCTACAGTCCTCTAGGTATGCATAGACTTTAACACCCATCAGCCCCAGCCACTGGGGCTAAAAGTCAGGGCTGTCAAGAATTACCTGAATAAATTAAAAGCTATTTTCAGGTTATAAAGAATCAAGTTGCCAAATTCTTCACAGATACCTTACTTACAATAAATTTAAAATAATTTAGCTTATGTGATATTCATTCTGACATTCTATGTCCAGCAAGAAAGAATTATTATTCTATTAACCAGTTTCCAAGCAGTAACGTGACATCTACCAGACATTCAGTTCTTTACTGTTCACAGAATCAGCAGGAGTAGCAGGGGTACTACCATGCCTTTATCATTGCAGCTTCCACCCCATTTTCTAAACTTTACAATGTTTACTTGATTTGCTAATTTTATAAAGCGTTGAACTAGGACAATAAACACAGAATAAAAATAAACGGTCACGTTAAAATGCAATCTTTCACTTACAAGCCATGAACAAAGCACATGATCACAGAGTGATTTTAGTGATGCTCCTGAGATGTAATGTTTAGTTTTTTAACAGCCAAGGCAGCAAAGCATGTATTTGCATATGAAGCTAAGATATTCAAAACACCTACTCCAGAATAGCCCCATTATGAAGTCAATGTGATTATTCTGAAATAAAGTGGTTTAAATACTGCAGCTTGAGGGTCCTGACAGATGATTTCATTTGAGTGAAGACTAACAGTTTTCAATTAACTGATGTGACAATTCATTATTTATCGATAAAGAAAACATTTAAATCCTAATTCACAGTCTCTCAGGACACAATCATCATTACTGAGGATACTGTTATATATACTTTTAAGCGCATGTCTTGAACTAGACAAACCATTTATGATGTATATTGTTAAAAAAAGTTGCCAAACTTCATTAACTATCTTTTATTTTAAAAGATATTATTTATTTATTTGGTTGAAAAGGAGAATAGATTAAAACTAGAAAGTTTTAATTGGCTTATATTCTTGTACTGAGAAACATTATTCATTATTCTAATTCAACCTAAGTTTTTTGGTCAGCCAAAAAAGCTGCAACCAACCGATAGCACTGTTAAAATCTGAGTCAAACTGAGGACTTTAAATAAAAGCAACTTTAAAAAACAACAACAGACAATATAAAGAGCACTTTGCACAAAGTTGTTCTAAAAAGACTTATTATTTTCTACATTAAGTATTGTAAATTCCTTACCATTACTTTTTGTACTTAAATGTCCTTTGAATGGACTTGCTGGGCCATACCTTGGTATATATTCAATCACTAAAATGAAAAGAAACAGAGAAAAATAGTTGAATTATACAAAGTCACCTTAATTTAATATTATCATAGTTATAGGAACACAGAATAGAGTCTCATGAATAGTAGTAAATCACCAATTTAAATCAATTCACTCTGTATTCAACCTATAACGGTAAAGCATATGCCCCCTATTTCAGTAGATACAGGTATACTTAACTCTGTATGAGGCTGGGCTTGTAAATAGAAGAGAAATGGCCATAATTTTTCTTTCACCTTAAAATGAAGGAATAACATCTGTTGAGACACATTTAATGAGTGACCTGGGAAAATGCAACATTCCTTCCTTGGGAGAGAAAGATTTGTGGATCCCCCATGCCACAAATGGATAACTACCCACCAAAAGCATGAAGGCAACAGAAGTCTGAATTAAAAAGTGACTACAATTCAGTTCAATAAACATACAAAAGGCTTGGGCCATGCACTTTCTCCTCCCACAGCACACTGACTCCTTCCCTGACTTCAGGTCAAACCCTGCACTGTGGTAAGCGTAGTTTGGCTTGGTAAAAAGAAACATACATGCTGCAAAATCCGATGTGAAAGAATGTCTAAAGGAAAAGATGTGGCTTTATATAGAAGCCACATGGCAAGTACATTGGAACCATAAGAATTTAATAGCAGGAAATTTCTTGACTCCTATGTTTAGCAATGTAAAGTGCAAGTAGGACCTTTAACAAAATTTATTTATTTATTTATTTTTATTTTATTTTATTTATATCCCGCCTATCTGGTCGTATCAGGACCACTCTAGGCGGCTAACAACATTAAAAAAATCATACAATGAATATACATATAAAAACAATTTTTCATAACGGGAATATTAAACAAAATAACTAAAGGAGAGGTAAAAGAAAAGGGAAAAGGGGGTGTCAGGAATGCTCCTTGCTCTCTATCCAAGGCCAAGCCTCACTATTAAGCTGAATGATGCTGAGGATACAGCAACTGGCAGCCCCCTGGCCATTCTGTCTCAGTCCACCAGCCTCACTTCTCAATCTGAGGACAATGCTGCATGTACCTTTTTGTCCACACTAAGCTAGCTGACTGCCCTAAGATGAAGAGGAAGATGCTCTCCTGATGCCATTCTCAGATTCAAATGTCAGATTAGTGGGCTTCAGTATGTGGAATTAGGATGCTTCATTTTGGCTACCACAGTTAGTGCTACATGTGCTGAACCTCCTAAAGGAATCACTCTTGTTGAGGCATCTGGCTATATATTCCATTCTATCCAGGCATTCTACAGTGGGGTCTTGACTTGAGAACTTAATCCGTAGTAGAAGGCAGTTCTCAAGTCAAAAAGTTCTCAGGTCAAATCTGCATTTCCCATAGGAATGCATTGAAAACCATTTGATCCGTATCTGCTCTTTTCCGTCCATAGAAACTAATGGAAAGCTGCTATTCTGCCTTCGACCCACTAGAGGGGGATATTTTGTTTCTTTTTTTCTTAGGTCAAGAAAAGTTCAGGGAAGGCAGGGAAAATACAGTTCAGGCAGTACCAGGCAGTCTGAAGACTGTCTCCCGATCCACTCTCTAAATGCTGGGAGGAGTGAGGAAGCAGACAGGCACCCTTTTCACTGGCCAACAGTTAACTGAAAGTTCAAATTTTGCACTTTCCCTGCCTCCCACGTGGTTTTTTTTCAGTTCTTAACTCAAATCTAAGTATGTAAGTCAAGTCAATATTTTCCTATGAGAGTGGTTCTTAAGTCAAAATGTTCTTAACTCGAGCCGTTCTTAAGTCAAGACCCCACTGTACTCTTATTCATTGCTTCTCTCTTTTTTTTTCTTCTCAAGCGTCATCCCACTTTCTGTAGGTGTAACAAAACTAAAAACTGATTTGTGGTAACTTAAAGACCAGCAGTGTGAGTTGTGTGGCAGCTTTTGTGGATTACAATATACTTCCCTGAGACCCAAATGGATTATTCCAAGGAAGTACACATTTAAAATCTGTTAGAATTGTAAAGTGTGCAACTCTTTTGTTTTACATGCTGAAACAGACTAAACCTTGGGTTACATCAGCAAAATGTTTCCAAGTTACTCCTTGTGAATTTTGAAACCCCCCCCCCTTTTTTTTTGTTCAGCTGACACCGGGCCATTACCAATTCCTTTGTTTCCCCTCCATAATATCTCCACATCAAATCCAGCCTGCTGGGAGGTTACTACTATATTAGTTCCATGTTTCATCATGGAGTACAACCAACATTCCATTGAGTTTGTACTGTACCGTTAAATAGATTCATTTCCTTTACTCTGTTGTGTGATCCCACCTTCCCCACCTGCTATCATTTGACTCTCTTAATTTTTTTCAAAATTAATTTTCAAATGGGGATGTTGGTGCATTGGTATGCTTCTGTCAAATACGACCTAAAGCACTCTTAGCCCGCCACCCACAGCATGCTTTTGCCAGGTAGTGCTAATAAGACAATGCACTTTTGAGGTATTCCCGCAGCACAAGTGATTTACCAACACACTGATATACCCACACATATTTTAAAGGGGGGCAGGGGGCAGATAAATACACAGAGAAGGGGGCTGTGTACTGTTTAAGGACTATAGACAAACATAGCACATTTAATTTACCCTAAAAACAGTGGAACAGTTAAAAATGTACGAACCACTATCACAGGATATATGTCACATGACCAAAATGCATGATTATACAAGAAGCAGAAGATGTGAGAAAAAAGGAGCATGTATCTAATGTGAGCACAGCCTAACACAACTACCTCTCTGAACCTATTTTCTATGTATGCTGAGCATATGTAATAATCATTTGTTTGGAAATACTGTAAGCACACCCCATGTTTTTATAAAGATTTTTACACTTTTACAAAAACTTTGAATTACCCCAAGTATGGGCTCCTGTTTTTCAGAGGCCTTCTTTTGGCTACAAAGAGTAACCATCTAATTTTACTGCAATGCTGTAAAATACCAGGCAGATTAACTCTTTGCCTGGGTGGAACTGGCTTTTAAAATGAGTTTTCCCTTAAAGATTTGTTAGACAGTATTCCTTTCTTTTAAAAGTGCATGTGTTGATTTCACACTGTGTTATGCTTTTGTAAGTACTTAATGGGTGTGATACCATAATATAAGAGCTCCTTTACATGCTTTCACTGTGGTGTGCAGATCCTATTTTGAATAAACAAAGAAAAAAATAAAGGTTATAGAAAGCTTCTATCTATTTCCAAGGAAGCATCAACAGAGGCTTTAAGGAATTACCACACCCATTAGCCTCTAAGCATTCATCCATTAGACTATCTGTTACAGAGGTGACACTCTGGTGACAGGAAATGATAATTTCCATCCCTGGATGAACTACTGCATATACTACTACAAGTACTAATAAACAGATTAATTCTAGTTTAGTAGACTTCATTTCTATATCTTATCAAAAATTATTACACACCAAATACACCACAATTTTTAAATACAGTATATAATTTTAAGCCAATGGTTTGCACTTAGTTCGTTCCCTCTGTTGATTTTTAAAAAATTAATGCTAATTACACATAGCTCAAAAAAAGAAATTAATGCGGGAATTAGCACAGGAGAAGACAGAAGGATAATAAAGTCTCCTAGCACATTTGCATGATATACTCTTGTGGACTTAATCACGAATGGTAATTAATGATAGTATCTCAATTAAAACAATTATCAGCGTACATTTTTATTCACAAAATGAATACATATGTTTAGTTTTTTCTGATACATTCACCTACTTAAAATATTAAAATAGTTGGTTACATATGTCATACCAAAAGAAAATCACAGATTCTGTGACAAAAAGGATACATTCTGACAGTTCTTCCACAGAAGTTTATTTTGCACTCAGCTGTGACACACAAGTAGAAACATAAAATAAGTCCACATTATGATGGATATGAAATATGAGGCTACTTCTCTTTTATCCATCTATATCCCCAAGTGCCAAACCGAAAATTAGATAGCTTTTTGTTTACAAATATGCATGCACTATTCTGGATTTCTTCACTACCACTTCTTTTACAGTTTTGTTATGTGTTGTCAGGTTTCCTCTAACTTACAGCAACCCTACAAATGAGTGGCCTCCAAATGTCCTCTCCTCAACAACCTGTTCAGCTCTGCTAAACTCAAGGCTGTGGTTTCATTTATGGAGTCAATTCATCTCATATTTTCTGCTGTCTTCGCCTTCTCATGATGTGCCCCAAATATGACAGCTTCAATTTCATCATCTCTGCATTCATAGAAAGTTCAAACTTGATTTGATTTACAACACAGTTGTACTTCCCTCCTCTAGTACCATACTGTATTTCAAATCGATTTTTTCCCATTCAGTTTTCTTCACTGTTCACTTTTCACAACCGTACATAGTAATCAGGAATACAACAGTATGGATGATCTGGATCTTGGTCTCCAATGACATGTTCTTACACTTGAGGATCTTTTTTATTTGTCCACTCAATCTTCTTTTCTCAAGGCTAAACATGTCCCATTCTTTTAGTCTTTCCTCATAGGGCTTGGTTTCCAGTCCCCCTATCATCTTTGTTGCCCTCCTCTGAACTTGCTCCAGATTTTTGGCATCCTTCTTGAAGTGTGAGGTCCAGAACTGGTCACAATACTCAAGATCAGGCATAACCAGTACTGAATAGAGGGGAACTAGTACCTTGTGTGATTTGGAGACTATACTTCCATTAATGCATTCTAAAATTGCATTTGCCATTTTTGCAATTGGATCACACAGTTTGCTCAGCTTTTGATCTACAACAATTCCAAGATCCTTTTTGCGCATAGTATTACTGAACGAAGTATTCCCCATCTTGTAACTATACATTTGTGTTTTTCTCCCTAGGTATAAAACTCTGCACTTACCTCTGTAAAATTTAATTTATGTTGTTTTCGGCCCAGTGCTCAAGCCTATCAAGATCTTTCTTAATTTTGTTCCTGTTGTCCAACATATTAGCTATTCCATTAATGCTATTAACGCTCAACTG